CCCCCCCCCCTCCCCCTATTCTTTTCTCCTCTGAGCTGACATCATTTGTGAACGGTCCCTACTCTAAGCAGTGTGTTGTCGTTAGAGGACATAACCAGTACACATGTATATGTGACACGACGCGGTGGAATCGGGCGTTCGTCAATTTTGGGCATGTGGACTTATTGGTAGGCTAGCATCTTAAACTTTGTTAATTTGTCTTCCCTTCGAAGGAAAACATACCCATTTATCGTGAATAGAAGCCGAGATATCCCCAATTGAAAGAGGTGGAGGTCGCCTTTTTTCAGAGGTTAAATTAGCGAGAGCCCGTGACAAGTGAAAAACTTACATTTTTGTGCTTTTAATAAACAATTTTCCGTAAAATCCACACAGAACTGTGTTCTTGAAGGGACCAAAAATGTTGAGCCAAAAAACACAATTTCGTTAAGAATTGCCATATATGCAGAAAAAATTCCTATTTCTTCGATTTCGTTATTTTGACGAGCGCCTGATTTTACCAAGATGCCTCACCACTTTTATGCTGTCTTTACCAGCAATATTAAATCACTGCATGGGAGTGAACACTACTGGATTATCAAAATAAGAATATAATAAACTGCAATATACTCAACATTGAATAATGTGATATAAGTCACCATATCACCTGGGGTTAGATAACAATAATAAAATTATATATTTATGTTTATCGTTTTAATACTGCTTCACAACACATCAAGCTATCGTGGAATAAGCGTTGGGCATCTTTCATGGGAATACATGTATGTAGTCAAAAACAAACAAACAAATAAACAAACAAACAAACGAACGAACGAACGAACGAACGAACAACGATAACAAAAAATAGTACTCCACAAGATGGCTCACTCTCTAAATGAAAAAAAAGAGTACTTCGACCACCCTTGCGAAACTGGAAAGATGTCGGCACTTACGCTGAGGAAAATAATTTGTTCCGATTCTCAAACAGATGTTCTTTAAATCTTTTGTAGAGGGTGCGGTAGCGGAGCGGTAAGTGCGCTCGTCTCCGAAGCGGAAAGTCCGGGTTCGAGCCTCAGTTCGGACACGGATTTTTTTCGTCCCCTCCTGCCCACCCAGCAGTAATGAGTATCTGACTTCGAGTTGGAGAAGTAAAGACGGTGTGGAAAGGAACTGGCCACCCTACCACAATATGCCGAAGGCCCAGGAAGCTGTGTCACTAACAAGGCAATCCCCAATGTCCGGATCGGATGCGGGAACAACTTTACTTTTACTTTTTATCTTTTGTATCTCACACAGAGGAGTGAACAATTTTGTAATGTCCTATTTTAGTTAGCAATGTACAAAAGTAATGGTTGTAATGCTTTGACAATGCGTAACATCATCACTTTGTTCTTTAGGGTTACGAGAAATAGATATTTGGTGATGGTCGTGAAAGAATGACTGTGTTGTAGTATATCTTGGCAGCATTTAATTTTGAGTTTCTTGCTTTTTTTTCTTCTTCCTCAAAGAAATTAGTACCTGGTATCGGTCTGTGTGCAGCATGACTCCTCGACGTCCAATAAAGTTATACTCGTAACCTCCAAAAGTATCCAAATGTCTTTTTGGTATTGGTACCTTCTTCAGTATTGTAGAAGACCTGCACAAAGAGGGACAACAGAAGACAGAAATCAGTCAACTGAGATAATGAATGGATAAGCAGTATTTAAACTGATTGTGTTTCTCTATTTCTGTGTATGTATGTGTATGTGTATGTATGTATGTATGTGTGTATGTGTGTGTGTGTATGTGTGTGTGTGTGTGTGTGTGTG